ATTTCTAATTCTCTCTGTTCTTTCTCTTTTCTAATTTCTCACTTCTCACTACTCATGATAGTATGCATGGTATCATGCATAGGTATGATGCAAATGCACAATGCATAGGATGTGCATTTTTCTTTCTGCTTTTCTATTTCTTATTCTGTTCTTCTTCTTTCTATTCTTTTCTACTTTTCTCTTCCTTTTTTTTTTTTTCTTTTTTTTTTCTTTTCTTATTCTCTTCTCTTCTTTCTTATTCTTCTCTTTCTTTCTTTCTTATTCTTTGCCGATCGGACTTGGTTGAGGTATGGATTCGAAACCCTGGCCGTGTGAGTGAGTACAGTCCTCATCTACATGCACTTCTTACGGACTGTACAAATTCTTCTTCTTATTAGGCCGCTCATTAAAGGCGGCGTGCATGTAGGTATATTCTTCTAGGTACAGTCTTTATCCACATGCACTCTTACGAACTGTACAAATTCTTCTTCTTATTCTTAGGCCGCTCACTGAAGGCGGCGTGCATGTGGGAATATCCTTCTTCTTGTCACTCATGGGTTCCCCATCGCAATAACCTTCTTTTCTCTTATCTTTCTTTTAGAAATTAATGTTCAATTTCTTTTCTTTTCTTTAGTAATTTTCTTTCTTTCTTTGTTCTTTAATATTCTTATATGAGTGTATGTATGTAGATGGACTTTTCTTATTGTTCTTTCTCAATTCAAATGTTAAACGCAAGAATGCAATATGGCATGTAAACATGTCATTTTCTATTTTCTCTACCATCTACAAGCTTATATCAAAATAATAAATCAACATACTCATACATGTACTTCTCTATGAAATTTCATCAAACACTTTGTATGCACAAATAAAGCACTAAGGTGTTTACATTTCCATAACAATCTCTAACCACCAAAATTTTGAAGCAATGCTCCCTAAAAACAACTTCAAACCTGGCCAGGAAAATACACTCCATAACTCTACTCAAATTCTTTCTTAACTCATCCAAACTTCCATCAATTTCTATACACACATTCATCACTCCTCATGGTGGTATTCTAACCATGGATCATCATCAATTCTCAACACTCAAGCATATAAATACATATAAGAAAATTCTATACTCAAGTATTGCTCAAATCATGACTAAGAGTTTAATTTACTTACCTTGAACTTGGGTAGTTTCACACTAGAATCTCTTTCTTTGGTAGATTTCCTCTTCTTTTTAAACTCTAAGCATATAAACTATAAGAATTCAATACTTTAAAAAAATTAATCTCACATCTTATTGCAAGAATTATTACCTTTGGATGCTTAGGATTGAATATCTACCAAAATCCAACCAAAAAGAAATTGAGAGAATTTGGAGATGAAAGTGGCGTGTGAGGGGTAGAGAATGGTAGGGTTTTCATTCTTGAACCCTTAATATCTCATTTATTACTTATACTTTCCCATTCTGCCCTTGCACTTTCTATGAAATTTCATCTTTGCCCTTTAATCAATTACAAAAATACCCTCATCTCCATTGCATTCTACTACTTTTCACTCCTCACATTTTTAACTAATTATGGGTAAAATGACCATTTTGCCCTTAAGGAAGTTTTCTAGAATTTTCTCAAAAATGCCAACAAGTTCTTTGCCCTGGTGAAGCTTTTTCTTCGCCCTGGCGAAACATTCCAAAGTGTACGTTGCCGCGGCGAACTTCTTTCCTTGCCGCGGCGAAGCTTGCAACTCTAAGAACATGATTTGGGCAGTGTGTACAATGCTGCGGGAGCAAAACTCCTTTGCCATGGCGAAGATTGCAAAGTCTAATTTCTCAATCTTTCACCTTAAAATAAGCAAAACTAAGGGCATTAAAGCATAAATAAATTACGTACCTCAATGTGGGCGTTACAGATTCAAATTATTAACAGCAGTCGAATTTCATCTCCCTCCCGGCCTCGTCCTCCAATACTTATTTGATTTGTGTTTTGTTCAACATTTATTATAATAACTATTATTATTATTATAATTGGGTTTTGCGATTTGTCTAAAGAAGGGGGGTTCATCTGAGGAAGAAGGAAGAGAAAGATTGTTGGGATTCTAAAGAAAGAAGATCTGTGAGAGAAACAAGATTTGTGAGCAAAGGAAGAGAAAGGTTGTTGGGGTTGTTGAACTTTCTCTCTCTTACTAGTTTTTACTTTGTGGGTTGTTTTTGTAGGCAGCATAATTTCAAGCTTTAACAAAGAAAGGTGGTGGGCTAAGCTTAGCCTCCTGTGGGAAATGAGAGGTGGTGGATTCATCACAAATCACAATCACCTCTTTAAAAATAAAAAAAGAAAAAAATATTTGGGAAAAACGAGGGACTCACAAGTCGACCTGTACCCGCACATGCGGGTACAGGTGATACCTTTCCTTACCTGTTTAAAACATTTACTCGTCGACCCGTACCCGTTTGACTTGTTACCAGTGGTTACCTGGCCCGTACCCACCTGTTTGCCAAGTCTACTAGTGAGTCTAAAGGTGATGGTGGTTGGAGTTTTCGTCGCTCGAAATGGTCAAAAAGGGGCAAATGAAACTTGATTGACATAGTTGTTGCGACCAGCGATCGACAAGTGATGAGAGGGATAAAGGGTATGGTTTTGAAGAGGAGAGGGTGGGGATTCCAGTAATGGTGACGAGGGTGATTTTGGGTGAGAAAACTGTCAGAAAAAGAAAAGGCCAATGTCAATGTGTGCTAATGTGCGTCAATACAAAAATTTTGAAAACCCATTCNAAAAAGCCTAGATAAATCACTATAATCCTAGGATTATCAGCTACCCAACAAATTTGGATTCAGCGTATTTACTACTTATCAACAGTATGGTTACCATGCAATCAAATCATTTCATCATTTATTATCCCATCAAGGTTTGAAGCATAGAAGTAATGTCGTCGACTTCAAATATAAACCACCTTGACATATTTAGATTTGGTTATCGGACCAATCGACCAATCGAGCTTTAACTCGATTCCACTGTGGCCATAGATTCCAAGGTCGTTGTCCTTTATTGGAATCTCACCGAGATAATATCTCCTGTACACAGAAGTGATGAATCATTTGTCGATCCACCATAGTCGTGATGTACTTCTCGATGTAGCCAATCACTCACATACTGATAATGCTCTCAGGATTACATTTGGTAAGTGTCAAACTACACCAATAGGTACACACGGCGCTCCAGTGATCTCAAATCTAAGGACCACATGCATCATCATCTGTTAGAGGATGTATTCCATGGACATTGGTGGTACCATCTATATGGAATCCTCTAATGGGCCAGTCTGCTGAACTCATGAATAACAAGCACCCATGCGTCGCACTACATTGTCACCAAACAATCTTGACATGTGAGATCAATCACTACCTTCCGGCAGGATCGTTCAACGCTATGATAATCTTACCATATTACCTGTGCCCTAGTTCAGGATAATACTACGGTTACGGACGTTTATAGAATGGCTACCATAAATGATCATAGGGATCTCATATTCAAGACTTATCACTATTTGATTCCTTCATCACGGTTCAACCACTCTAAAGGAATATATTAATACATACATATGAAATATGCTTTACATAATATAATCAATGGCTTTCAAATATTGAATATTCATGATCCATAGAGTCAACATACAACAATATGATTGGCTCAAGGGCACCTACACTAATAGATACTACATATCAACCTACACTAATAGATACTACATATCATCCCGTGCATTGGTAAAATTGCACTTCTCTATGTGTGACTCTAGTATGTTTTTAACCTTCGTTGATCGAAAAGCCAAAACTACTAGTTAAGTCTAACCTGACATCATTAAGGAAAAACTCCAATGCAACTTAGCTTTCATTGATAGACGCATACCCTTCGTTGATCGAAAAGGTTATGATGATCTATGGTTTGACTAAGCCCATGATGTTGGAAGGCATTAATCATAGACTTATATCCTTTATAAGGGTTTTTTGCTCTTTTGGTCTCATCATTTTATTATCTTTATTAACATGGTATATCCATAACATTCAACCTTTGCATGCCAACTAAAGCAATAAAGATAAACATGTTGGTGCATTGCCTTAACTAAACCAAATTCCCCAAGCCTTGGAGAATTTGTATGTCAACCTAGTGATTAAATAACAAGAGAACTTTCAATTTAAAAACTCGCCTTCTTCAATCCAATGCTTCTTCTCCTCATTACATTAAATTAAAAAATAAATTCTAATTTAACTTTACATCAATAAAGAGAAACCTCGATTTATATTCGAGGGGAGTAAGATGAGAGAGAGAAATACAAGAGATTAAAAGAAAGGCAAGGCATGCATACCTTATTTAAATTGAAATTACAATCCTCAAATTTAACTAGGTCTAAAGGAAAATGCAACCAACACCATGCAATTTCATCTCAAGAATATGCATATAACAATCAATCAAAAACAACAATTTTTACTCACTTGGTAAATTACAATTACCCGTTGATGTTATACCTTGTTGTGTCCAACAAGTTGTAAACCTTTTAGTTTAGTCCCTTGTTGTTGGGCCTCCCCAAATTGGGCCTCCAGAATGATTATAATATGCAACAACAATTATAGTAAATTATGGACCAACATCTATGCGCAAAAATGCCTAAAACAGCCCAAAATGAAGCCCACCTACACCAATGTGTAAGTTGCTCGAAATAGTAGTTTTATGTGCATCGACACATATGGCAATAGCGTTAAAGACTTGTTAAACGTGCATCAATATGTTAACAATCTACTGGTGCAAACCGTGAGTCAATTGACTCACTATTGAATATGTTATGACCTATTTATGAACCTACAGCAAATTAATGTGCACCAATGTTGACTGATTGTAAATAGACTGAAACCCCTTGCTATAGTAGTCTGAAAATTAATGTAAGCCCATTGAAATGATCCTCACACATGTAGGAACATGTAAGACTTTGAATCGCTAAAAAATAAGCACCATGGTGTAAATGAGAGCGATTTCCTCGAAGGAAAATCACAGGCTACCTAAAACAGGANTAAGATTCTTATATCTCACTTCCACAGTGGGCAACTGTACTCCCACTCTAAAAAGCATGACCAATAACAAGTCAGTTTAATTAATGAGATATGGAAATTTGAATAGTAAAAATATATTCACTGACAAACACTAGCTACTTCTTGTATTATCAGTGAAGTTAAAATGGCAGTGTGCATGCATGCATTTTAGAAAGGAAGGTAATTACTTGTCAATTCTCTTTCGAATTCTGTGCAACAATCGGAGGTTATCATTTTCAATATGTTTGATGAGCTTGTCAATGAACATATGGCGCTCCTGGGGTCCAAGTTTGGTAATATTAACAACACGTTTCCCGGTAGCATCTTCCTCTTTTTCATCAAACAAAGCCGTGTTAATCCGTTCAAAAGTTGGTAATCTCTGAAGAGCAGCCCATTGCATCTCATTTTCACCACCCTCGTCCTCCTCCTCGTCATCATCAGGAGCATAGTTAACATCAGTAATACTACGAAAACTTGAAGTGTAACTTCTAAATGAGGACCTTAAGCTTCTTCCAATTTCCGCTAACTCAATTCTGAGAGACTCTATTTCATCAGGACCTGCCAGCTGAGCCATTATTATTGTTGCATAAACTGAAGGGCTAAAGAGAGAAGAAAGAACAAGTGTAAGTATGAGTCACTGCATAGGTATGAAAATGAAGGAAGATATATATAATAATGGAAGTGGGTGAGGTAATCCATGGCGTCATTCAAGTGATGGCATGTAAATTGCTGTCAAAATGGTTGTTTACACGCATTATATTTCAACTGGGAATGAAATATTATTCTTCTGCTATTACGTTACATGTTTGATTTCTTTCACATTGTATCGTCAGCTCACAGAAGAAACGGAGGAATATCATTTATTTAAACGCCAGAGTTGTTGAGCTGAAGTAAGAATTATCTTGACTTGACTGTTAAACAAAGTATGAATATTTTAGTAGGGTGAAGTTGTGGTGGACTTTGCCGCATCCTATGATAACAATAAAATAATAAAGATCACCATAATCCCAGCAATGAAATATGAAAACTTTAAGGAAACTGAACAATTTTAGGCCATAACATTCATTGATTGAGTTGGTCTCATCGCCCATGACAGGTATAAATAATGCTGATGTATGATACTTTGCTGGAAGTGCATCAAATTTCCACTTTGCAGTTTGAATGTTTTTGGCGCCAATTGAATTCTGTTTCTGCAGTTGGTCTGACGTGTGTGAGCTGCAGTTTTTGTTGCGTTTTAGTTGATTTGTTTAGGTGTGATTAAGACCTGTAAATGATGTATTTTGAGCATTTTTTGTTAATTGTTAAGAGTTTAAATTCAAATATGAAAAATCTCTGCTGTAGTTGTTGTAACAGTGGATGGTTTAGTTGTATTGTTGTATAAATCATCAGTTTTAATGAAGAGATAAAAACTTTTCCATACACTCCTCAGTTTTTTCCTTTCTTTTCTTTGAATTCTCCGGCCATAAAATTTTACGTTTCATATAAGAAATTAGGTTTTAAGAATAGGGGTAAACTTTCGGTTGCCATTCCATTCACCCCATCGCCTCCTCCTTCTACGTCTACTTCATCTCGGCCATCTCGGCCATCTCTATCACCTACCACTTCTCCAATACAACTGCATTACTCCTTTCTCGGTTGAGCTTTTTTCTTGTGTCGTCTCGTCGCCCTCTTCTGTTTCTGTTTTGGCAATACTCATCAATTCATCACCTACTGTTACTACTTACTACAACTAAGGTTGCTTCCTCTGGCTCTGATGGCTACCATGTCATGCATCATATGATCTCAACTTTCAAACTTTCTCACTTTCTTTCTCTTCTTTGAATCTCGCCCATCTGGTTTGATTTTTGGGTTTTGCAAGTTGATTAAGTGATTTGGCGTCGCTATTTTTTTTTCCGCTTCTTTTTGTAATTTTGTGAACAGTACAAGATAATCGAAACCAAAACTGAAACCAACGATTCCAATTCCGGTTCTTATGATTAAGGAACTGCAGAGTACTAGTTCCAGGAGGAGGTGCTGGCATTCTGAGAGGAGGTGCTGATATAGACCAGGGATACAATGCAGAGGTTGCAAGCAATTTGGGCACATAAAAAAGGTTTGCAAGAACAAGGGAAGCCAGCCAACACAACAAGCTCAAGTTGGAGAAGATCAACAACAATGTCAGGAAGCTGAACAGCTCTTTGTGGCCTCCTGTTACACAACACAGATCAGCAATGAAGCTTGGCTGATTGATAGTGGTTGCACCAACCACATGGCTGCAGACCTACAAAAATTTATCAATTTGGACAGCTCATATAGTTCCAAAGTTAAAATTGGAAATTGTGACTTTGTGGAGGTCAAAGGCATAGGAGATGTGGTTGTCCAAACATTATCAGGTACTAAAATTATCCCTCATGTCTTCTATGTACCTGAAATTAGTCAAAATTTGTTAAGTATTGGGCAAATGTTAGAGAAGGGTTATTCTCTACATTTTCAAAACCAAGCTTGTATCATATTAGATGCCGATGGAAATGAACTAATATGTGTGAAAATGTTGGGAAAAAGCTTCCCAGTTGAGTGGAAAAATCCTGGTAACTTAGCCTTGTCATCTAGGTTGGAAGAATCTAAAATTTGGCACAAAAGGCTTGGTCGTTTTCATTATAATGGTCTCAAAGAGCTTAGGAGCAAAAATATGGTTTTGGACCTGCCTAAGATTGAAGAGAAGAAAAGTCTTTGCAGTGCTTGCCAACTTGCTAAGCTCAGCAGGCCACCCTTTCCCAAGGATGAGGTCTGGAGAGCAACTGAAAAACTCCAACTGATTCATACTGATCTTTGTGGCCCTATGCAAGCTGAATCCATGAGTGGGAGTAGATGCTTTGTCCTATTCATTGATGACCTCACACGGATGACTTGGGTGTATTTCCTAAAGCAAAAGAATGAGGTTGCTGCAGTATTTAAAAATTTCAAGCTGCAGGTGGAGAATCAAATAGGGCTGAGAATTAAGACTATAAGGAGTGATAATGGGACATAATACACATCAAAGGAGTTTGATTCCATTTGCAAAGATGCAAGTATCAAGCACCAATTCACTACTCCATATACTCCACAACAAAATGGAGTTAGTGAAAGGAAGAATAGGACACTCATGGATATGGCTAGGTGTATGATTATAGAGGAAAGATTGCCAAGAATGTTTTGGGTTGAAGCTGTCAACACAGGGGTAAACATTTTTAATAGACTCCCAACCAAGGCTGTCAAGAATTAGAATCCATTTGAAGCTTGGAGTGGAGTCAAACCGACAGTGAGTAGTCTTAAAGTGTTTAGGAGCATTTGCTATGTAATGGTTCCAGCAAACAAAAGAGGCAAATTAGATGAAAAATCAGAAGCTGGAATTTTTATAGGGTACAGTAGTCAGTCCAAAGGCTATAGAGTCTACATTCCTGAATCCAAATGAATTGTGATTACAAGGGATGTAAAGGTTGATGAGAGAGCAATCTAGAATTGGGAGTATAAAAAGATTGATGCCGACTGCAAACTACATCAGCCAACCGAGAGTCTGATTGAAGAGGCTGAAACTAAAAAGGATGAAGAGCCTTCGATTAGAAGGATCAGAACCTTGGCTGATGTCTATGCAAGAAGTAATATGGTTGTGCTTGAACCAAGGAATTATACTGAAGCTATTGAGTCAGAAGCTTGGAGGAATGCAATGCAAGAGGAGATGTCAATGATAGAGAAAAACAGCACCTGGAAGCTTGTTGATAGACCTGGAAACAGGAAAGTAATCCAAGTGAAGTGGATTTGCAAGAAAAAACTTAATCCTAATAGTATAGTCCATAAACACAAAGCAAGGCTGGTGGTTAAGGGGTTCGCACAACAGCATGAGGTAGATTTTTCTGACACTTTTGCTCCAGTGGCCAGGCATGACACCCATTAATGCTGTAAGAATACCAGGCCTGAATGCACCAGTAATCTCCGAAAGAAGCTGGACCTTTTTCTCCTCAAAACCTCGCTTTTTCATTTCCTAAGATAAAATAGCAGCATAAGCCTTAAATATTCAGAATACTTAAAATTCGAAAGTAAAAATAGATTTAGCATGATTACCTGCGGGGCATCCACATAGTACTGCATATCCTGAAAAGTTAAAGTTACAGGCTCTAAAGGTAGAACCATCCTTCCTGCAACATTCAATGACAGATTTAGAAAACACAAGAGGCATAAATTATTATAAAATAATTTTAAAATAGTCATTAACCTCTAGAATTATTATAAAATTAAAATTCGCTCACCCCTTTTAGGTCTTGCAACAGTTTTAAGAGGAGCATTACTGGATTTTCTATATTTGTCTAAACCACTACTATCATCTTCTTCTTCTTCCAGTTCAGAGTACTTTTCATTAGAAATGATGCCACGGGATTTTCCTGGAGCTGAACATGTACCAATGTATCAGTAAGCACATGTAATGTACAAATTCTAATAAAAGAAGGCCATGAAGCAGTGGAAGATGCACTTACGCTTCAAAAATGTCAAAGCCAAGGTAAAAATAAGATTGAAAAGCACCGTGAATCCAATTAAAGCACCAACGGAGATCCAGTAAAAATAACTATTGATATTCAATCCACGGCTCTCCAGTGTTTGCTGTCCTAAAGTTGTGTTTCCTGACATTATCTGTGAATCAACCAAACAACTGCCACGTAATGAATAATTTATCCTTTTCATATGTTAATTCTATTCCTGCAAGTGAATTGGTTTGAATTGTCAAATACTTTTCCCAACGAGGAGCAAGAAATTCGTTCACTGTCATGCCTATCTCCCCATATGTCAAAGGACAAACCCAGAATCCCCATTCTAGCCAAGAAGGCATAGATGCTGAAACTCAAAAAGTAAATACTTAGTTCAATTCTCAGACGAAAACTCATAGAAAATAATAATAGGAAACCAATCTTACATCTTGGAATAACAAATCCTCCAAATAATAATAGCAATAATGTACACACAATGCTAACAGTCAAACTAGCAACCATAGTTCGGCAGATCAAGGCAATAGAACGAAACATCAATATTGATGTTAGGTGCACAAGGAACAGTAGAATGAACTGGCGGAAAAACCTAATAAACACAACGAAAACAGAAAAAAAAAAATTAGGTCATAAGGGCAGTCCAAACAAGTGCTTCCATCAGGAAGATCATATATGTGCTCAGCAAGAGACAAATTTCTAGTCCTTGCAGAACCTAAGGAAAGAGCAGTAGCAAATAGACACCATGCAAAGCATCTTGTGGCCTAGATTGTGAATTTAGAAATCTTAGAACATCAATAATTATTCTCCTTCAGAGTCATTTCATTTTGCCATCTTTGATCAAAGCATCTTAGATTACTAGAATAGATGGTTACTGTCATCAAACCTGGAACTATTGTGTTAGCCACATCCCACATAGGAGAGAGAGGAATTGGAACCAAATATATGGAACAGCTACATATGTTTTGACATTGCTCCATTTGCATTTTCCACTAAAGGAAAAAAAAATTATATCTTAGACTCACCTTCCAACTTCACGACTGTAACCAATAACATAGTAAGTGAGGGCAGTCTGTTGAAGATGATGATAACTTGCTGGAAATGCAACATTGCTCA